GATGAAGTTCTAGAGGGTGGGGGGATAGAGAAGAGGGAGAGGCGGAGGGACTGCAGGATGAAGTTCTAGAGGGTGGGGGGATAGAGAAGAGGGAGAGGCGGAGGGACTGCAGGATGAAGTTCTAGAGGGTGGGGGGATAGAGAAGAGGGAGAGGCGGAGGGACTGCAGGATGAAGTTCTAGAGGGTGGGGGGATAGAGTAGCAGAAGGCCTGCTCAACAATGGTGGGGCGGGTGAGGTGAAGCTGAAGCCCAATGAGTGGAGGGAGTGGGCAGGTTTGTAGGGGGTTAGGAAGTTGCAGAGGTAGGGGGGAGCAAGGCCATGGAGAGCTTTGAAGGTTTGCGTAGTGGAGCCTGGATGTTCTGAATGTGTGTATGAGGGTCTCAGCGGCCTGCGGTGTGAGACACGGCGGAGCCAGGCAATGTTGCGGAGGTGGGTAAGGCAGAGCGACCCATGGCACAGCTGTGGGGTAGAAAGGGTAGTTCAGGGGCCAACAAGATGCCAACGTTCCGGACTGGCTTAGTAAGGTGGAGTGTGTATCCTTGGATGGTGATGCTGTCAGTGCCTGAGGTGTGGAAGCACTGTCAGGAGCCAATCAGGAGGGCACGAGGAGGGCCTCAGTCTTGTTGATGTTCAACTGTACAAAGTTAACTCTCATCCAGGACTCGATGTCTGACAGACATTCTGTCAGGACAGCAGTGGTCGTGGAGTCGAGCGTGGAGGCAGAGAATACATGCGGAAATGGACCCCGTGTCTACAGATGATGTCACCAAGAGGGAGCATATAGATATTGAAAAGGAGGGAATCAAGGACAGAGCCCTGAGGAACTCCACATGAAATAGTGCGGGGGCTAGAGAAGAAGCCATTTGTGGAGCTGAAGTGGAGACAGTGTGGGAGGTAGAATCTGAACCATTCAAGGATAGAACCATGAAGGTTGAAGTGAGAGAAGAGGCAATTTTATTTGCGGGATTGTCAGCCAAGTGAGAAACTCTCTGAGCCTCAACCATAAACAAGCAATCAACCATTGGTATTCACAATATTGATATCACAACATTATAAAATGATATAACGGTAGCCTAATAAACATACAATCTTATTATTTTGTTCTCCCCCTTATTAAATCTTGACTTATTTTCCACTCACTACTAAAAGTTTTACCATTTTATTTTCCAGAAGCATGATTTTGTCCTTCACATCTCGGCTGACATTTCTCAGCATTCAGAGTAAGTTGAGCTGCTCCAGTAAGATACCTCGGTGCCTTGCAGAATGTACGTCTCCTTTATTCTCCACCAGTGAGACAAAGAACCGGCAACTTTCAAGCTTAAATTTAATCAAAATTATATGACTTTCATCTGAACATACTACAAACCAAATTCAAGACACAACTTTCATTTATTCTACAAATAAACAAAACATTGCATTTTACTGTCCTGAATTAAAAACAAAAATATATTTTGACACCTAAAACCAGTACTTAACTTGCCCTTCCAAAATTAATATCTTCAAGCGATCACAACTCCACACAATGGCTGCCTTGCCAATTTGAACAAGTTACTGTAATGAATAAACAAGGTTCAACCAGCCAAAAGACAAATTCCTAACATCCCAAGTCACACAACTATGACAAAAGTCTACCTTACAATTCTTTCTATGTCAATGTCACAGCTTGATAAATATGAAAAACTGTATATCTGTGCTAACAAAAACTGAAGCGATTAGGTTGTCATTTCCCCAAGCTCTTTATTGTTGCACTACAAAATGAGCAGAAAAGCCTCAGTCCTGTTGGCAATGAGCTGCAGACAGTAGAGCTCATCCAGGACCAGACATCCAATGAACAAGCAGTTAGAGCAATGATGGTCTCAGTATCAAGGATAGAGGTAGACAGAGATGTATGTCATCCGTCTCCATATGGAAAGGCGTCCTGTGCCTAAAGATGATACCATTAAGGGGAAGAATTTACATGGTAAGGATAGGTCTGAGGAGAGCCCTGAGTCATGTCGCAGCAGGTGTCCTTACAGGGACATACTAGCACACTACATTTTGTTGTCCAATTTTTATCATTTACTTTTCATCTCATTTCTTTCAAAGCCAAACACAATTTCTGATCAAGAGATTTGGAAGCTGATCTGCTCCCCAGCCAAAACTACTGAAGTGAATGGTGAGTGAGAGTGAACCAATTTGAATCCTGTTCAAATTTCATTCTCCCCGACTTCCACTCGGTAAATTGTATCCTACCCTTCTATAGTTGTTCCTCTTCTTTCCCTCCACAGAAAAAAATATGTTCATCAACCAGTTTAGTGTTGGCATTGTTATTCCAAGTGTTGAATTCCCAGTGCTCAATTAATTTTAATTGAAACAAGTCTTACCTATGAAATAAACGTAACCAACCAAATATTTAGTGTTCAGAAGTGGTAATGTTTAACCTGCTTTAGAAACAACTTGTACTCCTCCATTGCTACTAAGCATGTTGAAAATGTGTGCAAGTGCCCCAAGTGATTTTGGTACAAAGTGTCCTTCCTTTTTGAAAATGGTAATTCTTTTAGAAAAATGACTGGATACTGTATTGGTAACCACAGCCAAAAATATAGAAGACACAGCATATTGGAGGACCAACATGTGTCAACAAGACTGGGTGAACGTCATCAAGCCCAATGAATCTCATTTAACTCAGGACTGATGTTTTTAGTTCATAGAAAACAACCATACTTTTGATTCATTCAGGCAAAGCAGCATTGTATTCATGCAAACGGTAGGGCTATGCCAACAAACTGTTCATTTTGTTACTAACCCTGGGTCAAGAGTTTCTGGTTCTTATAATTAAGTATCAGCTAATTAAAATTCACACACTACGGCTGTAATCATGAGAAACTGACTGAAAAATCTTTACATTGGATACACCATATACTGTTCTTTGATAAAGCAAATTAATAGTAAACAAAGTGGTTTATATCACATTTTTTAACCAAGACACCTGATCAGATTTGGCGCTCAATTTTGTCTCCAGCCAACCACTCGTATGATTCAGGATTTTTAGAATTAGAAATACTTGCAAGGAATCAAAAATCAAAATATAATTATCTGTGCATTTGGTACAGGGACTCATCACTCGTCGAGCTGTCTCAAAATGCTTCACCGATATTTTGAAGCTGATCATAAGTGTAGTAAGCGTTCTGAAATGCTGTCTGGCGTGGAGGGCGCTATATAAATCCAAGTTGTTGCTGTTGTTGACTAGGTAATTATAGACAAATGCAGCAACCAATTTGCTCACAGCGATATCCCATAACCAGCCATTAAGTGAATGAGCAATTCTTTATACTGGAGTATTATTGTTGAGAATACCAGGAGAAACACTGTTTACTTTTGCAACATTGCCATAGGATCATTAGTGTCCACCTGAACAGGCACATGGGACTTTGAATTAACATCCGATCCAAAGCACAGGATCTCTAACACTGAAATGCTCCCCCAGTAGTCACTGGAAAGTCATCCAAGAGAAGAGTTCAAAGCCTCAATGTTGGAATGGGTAGGCTCATTAGTCCAAGTGTCTACCATTTTACTATGATTTAAAAGAAATAATATTACAAATATATTTGTCAGACTGGCTCAGTGGTAGCAGGCTCATCGCTGAATTGGAAGGTTGTGGGTTCAAGCCCCATGTCAAGGCGTAGAACTCATATAATCTAATCAGACACTCCAATGCAATACTATTTATTGCATTGTTTGAGCTGTCATTCTTTGGATGAGATATTAAACCAAGGCCCGTCTGACTGTTCAGGTGGAGTTAAAGACTGCACAGCACAATCTGAAAAAAGAAGATAGTTTTTCCTGGTACTCTGGCTAACAATCCCCCAAATATAATTTGTCATTCATTTCATGGCTGTTTGTGGGACATTCTGTGGGCAAATTGGCTCCTCCATTCATTACTGCACTTTACAGTATATCATGTGAAGCACTTTAGGATGTCCTCCTAACGTAAAAGGGGCTATACCAAACAGAAAGATTATTTATTATTAAACCTTTTATTCCATTACGTAATTTAAAAAATATATATTTTTGGAACAGCAGATATATTTTACATTAATTTAACCTTAATTAACCTTCCAGAGTAAGAGGAGCATGCATCAGCTCTGCGGTGCAATAATTGATGCAAGCTCACAGCTGAACAAATTGCAGTTTCAGCCAAATAAAGTCTGCACATTTCTGTCCCATGCGGTTACAAGATAAAGTACCATTTATCTTTATCTTGGGGAGGGCAACAGGGTGGGCGGGGGCCAAGGAGAGGAGGAGCGACAGGATGGGGGGCGGGGGGGAATGGGTCAAGGGGGGCTGACGGGGCAGGCGAGCGACAAGCCGAGGGCGAGCGACGGGGTGAGATGGATGGGCGACGGGGCAGGGTGCGGGCGACGGGGCAAGGTGGGGGCAACGGGGCAAGGGGGGACGGCGAGGCGAGACGGGTCGAGACAGGGCGACGAGGCAAGGGGGGGCGACGGGGCGAGACAGGGCGAGGGGAGACAAGGCGCGGGGGGGGGACCCCGAATAATTTCCATGCAGTATCACTCTATGCACCACTAGGTGATGTGTTGTTGTTGTTGTTGTGTGTGTTTGTGTTGGGGGGGGAGGGGGGGGGTTGTAGACCCCCCAATTCCAGGTCTCTGCTGACAGACAGTCACAGCCCCTCAGGTCTCTCGAGTCTTTCAGACACACAGACAGACAGTCTCACACTGTGGGTGTGAGACACACACGGCCCTAACTGGCTTTTCTGTCTGGTTTAAAGGCCGCTGTAAACAGGCGGCCCCGGTCCCTCCCCGGGTGAGAGCGGCGATCGTGGCCATCCTCTCGGGGGCGCTGCTGGTTGCGGTGTGTGTGTGTGTGTGTGAGGAGTCGGCGGCCCCCGAGGCTCAGACAAACGCCATTGTTACAGCCGCAGTTCCCCCTCCGCTCCCCCCCCCCACCCCGGGCCCGGGCCCGGGCCGAACCCCAGGGTTTGTGCGCGGCCTCTTACCGACCTCAAGGCCTACCCCCGTGCCTCTCTGCCTGTCCCCGGGCGGCCGACACTCTCCGAGCTCTCTCTAGTCCTCGTCGCTCCTCTCCGCCGCGCGGCCCCGCTCGCCGACTCCCATCTCGCACACCGACGCGGGCCGCCCTGCCCCCCCCCCCACGGAGCCGCCGCCGCCGTCGTCGTGATCCGTCGCTTCAGCGCGCGACCCCGACCAACCGTCAACCCTGCACTACACTACACTGCGCGCGCGCGCACGGCCGCACTCGCCGACTTCAGCGCTCGCGCGCGCACGCGCGCGCCCGCCCGCACGTACGTACGTCCTCCCGGACGCCTTCCCACAATGGTCACTGACGTCAGCGCCCACACTACCCCCCCCTCCCCCCCCGGGGCTGGTGACGCTTGGACGTGCGCGCGCCTGTGGGAAGGGGGGGGAGGGGTGTGTGGTGTTTACTCACTGGGAAGGGAAGGCTGTGCTGTGCTGTGTCTGTGGGGTGTGTTGCTGCTGGTGTCAGTCTGGCTCAGTTGGGAGCACAGCACCTCTGTCCCCTGAGATAACAAGGTCATGGGTTCAGGTCCCCGCGGCACGACTGTGAGAGCACGTCACGTTCTTTGTAGAACTCTGGTTGCATTTGGGCAGGATGACGCGGGTCCCCAAACTGCCAGTGACCAATGTTATTTGGGCGGCGGGTGGCTTGGGGTTGGGAGGGACTGGTGGTCAGGGCAACTGGGATCAATTTCTTCTCATTTAACGCCACGGGAATTCTGACGAGCGCCCGAGTGCGTGAGGCCCCCGACGCGCTCACGTTTCGTCCCCCGTTCTCAGCCGCGCTGGGGGTCCAAACGAAAGGGAGCCGCGCAACACCGCGTTCGAAACTTAGATTTGATAACGTTTTCGAACGACGTTTTAGAACGTTCGATGAACGATTTAAGTTAGAAGATCAGAGGACTTGGCCGGATTCTTTCGGCAGGGTCTCAAATGTCTGCTTTTCTTTACCGTACTTCATTGCTGCACATGTGGTGAAGGGTGTCATCCGATCAGGTCTCGAGCTGATTACACAGGATGTCAGATTGGAGTGGTTGGGTCAACTGTGAGGATCGTATAATCCTAAATTTGAGAGAGTAATGGACATTACTTTTGATGCAAGTGTTTTGAAACATTTTTACCTTATCCTTTCATAAATGAAAGGATTAAAATCTTGCACCTCACTATTAAGAAATCGCATTCTTATTTTTCAAATTAAAACTTGGGGAATTCTTCCAAATCGTCACCTACATGTATGCAGATGACACCCAACTCTACCTTTCCTCCTCTACCCTCAACTCCACGACCACCGATGTCCTGACAGCCTGCCTGTCCGACATCGAGTCCTGGACGAGAGACAACTTTCTTCAGCTAAACGTGCGCAAAACTGAGGCCCTCCTGATTGGCTCACGTCAGCGCCTCCGCACCTCAGGCGCTGACACCATCAGCATCCAAGGCTGCACTCTCCACCTCTCAAAGCCAGTCAGGAACCTCGGGGTTCTGTTCGACCCTGAGCTGTCCTTTCTCCCCATATCCGCACCACAACTGGCACCGCCTTCCATCACCTCCGGAATATCGCCAGACTACGGCACTACCTCACCCCTCACGCTGCTGAAACTCTGGTCCACACCTTTATCACCTCAAGGTTGGACTATGGGAACTCTCTCCTCGTCGGCCTTCCCGCCACCTCCCTCCACAAGCTGCAGGTCATTCAGAACTCTGGAGTCCTGTAGCTCAGTGGTTAGAGCACTCGCTTTGCAAGCGAGATACCTGGGTTCAATTCCAGGCAGGGCGAAACCTTGGGCAAGTTTCCTTACTCCACACAGAGCCTAATAATAATCCCTCCAAAACCAAAAACAATAATAAAATTGGCATTTTCAATCTACGACTGTTTGTGGGACATTGCTGTGCGCAATTGGCTGCCGCGTTCGCTCACAAATTTACAGTCAATTCACTTTACAGTGTGTTCTGTGAAGCGCTTTGGGACGTCCTTCCGACGTGAAAAGCGCTATATCAAATGCAAGGATTATTATTATTATTATATAACTCTGCAGCTCGTGTACTGTCCCGCACCAGGCTTCGCGATCACATCACTCCCACCCTCGCTCACCTCCACTGGCTCCCCATCCCCCAGAGGGTCGAATTCAAGATCCTCATCCTCACTACAAGGCCATTCACGGCCTTGCTCCCTCCTACCTCTCTGACCTACTATCCCCCTACTTACCTGCCCGTACCTTCCGTTCCTCTGGCTCCGGTCTGCTCCACATCCCCCGCCCCAACCGCCCTACCATCGGTGGCCGGGCCTTCAGCCTCTCAGCCCCCAGGCTCTGGAACTCTATCCCCCAGTGCCTTCGCCTTGCTTCCTCCCTTTCCTCCTTCAAGGCCGGTCTCAAGACCTTTCTCTTTGACCGTGCCTTCAGCTCCCCTCTCAACTCTCTACTCCCTCCTCGCTCCCTCCCTTCCCTCCCCTCACCCTGACCATTTCCCCCTGCTCGGGTCCTGACCTGACTGTACAGCGCCTTGGGACATCCTCCCGACATGAAAGGCGCTCTATAAATGTAATCTTGTTGTTGTTGTTGTTCAGAAGATCCAGTTCGAGATCCTGGTCTTCACATACAAAGCCCTCCATGGCCTCACCCCACCCTATCTCTGCGAACTCCTAACCCACTACCAACCCGCCCGTTCCCTCCGCTCAGACGGCTCTGGCCTGCTCCATGTCCCCTGACCCACCCGCCCCACCATTGGCGGAAGAGCCTTCAGCCACTCTGCCCCCAACCTCTGGAATTCCATCCCCCAGTCACTCCGCCTCGCCCCCTCCTTAACCTCCTTCAAGTCCCGCCTCAAGACCCTCCTCTTTGACCATGCCATCAGCCACCTCCCTTCCCCTCCCCTCCCTTCTCCCTCACTGACCCCAGCTCGGGTCTGAAATGCTGTACACTGTCCAGCGCCTTGGGACGTCCTCCCGACATAAAAGGCGCTATACAAATGTAATCTTGTTGTTGTTGTTGTAAACGAAAGCATAGTAACAGATTAGTTATAAACGGGACATTATAAAAAAAATTATTCTTTCATTATTTTGTAAAGTCGAGCTTTATTTGTTTGGGAAAAAAATACACAAGAAAAATAAAACAACAATTTGCAATTATTCAGCGCCTTTCACATAAGAGGGCATCTGGATGTGCTTTACAGAGACATTCGGTGGAAACTCAAGCACGTCGGTATTGGAGGGTGGGCCAACACTCATTCATGCGTTCGTATCCTCCCAATTTGACTTTTCAAATGCCATCCTTGCCGGTCTCCCCAGCTCCACCATGCACAAGATCCAGCTGATCCAAAACTCCGCCACCCGCACACTCACCCACACTAAACTCATACCCCCATCACACCAATTCTAGCCATGTTCCACTGGCTTCCTATCGCTAAACAGTTTGATTTCAAGATCCTCACCCTTGTTTTGAAATCCCTTCATGCTCTGGCGTCTTTCTACCTGTCCAACTTTCTTTTCCTCCAACCGACAACCTGCTGCCTCAGCTCGACTGGCTTCAGCCTTCTGTAGGTCCCTCGTACCTTCCATTCCACCACTGGTGGCCGCGCTTTCATTCACTACGCTCTGAAACTCTGGAACACTCTTCCTCTATCCCTCCTCCTTGCCCTTCCTTCCCCATCTTCAGGTCATCCCTGAAGACCTTCCTATTCGACAGTGCCCACGGTCACCCTCCCTCCCCCAGCTCAGCGTTGTGCTCCGCCACCTTCAAACGCTCTGGGATGCTGCCCTACATGAGGGGGTGCTATATAAATGCAAGTTGTTGTTGTTGCAACAAAAAGGAATTATATCATAAACAAGTAATTCATGAATTTTCATCTTTCCCCCACCTCTCTCGGACCACCCCCCCCACCAGCCCTCACCTCCATCTCGGGTGCAAACCCTGGTCTCTCCAGCGTCTTGGGATGTCCTCCTGATGTGAAAAACACTATATGAATGTAAATTTGTTGTTTCTGTTGTATTTGAGAAATTTGATACATTATCAACTTTTCAGTTCTTGATGTAATAGATATTTATAATGGATACACTGCCTTTAGATTCACTAAAATACGGATTACGGTTTAAGGTTCCTCGAGTCAGATCTGTATGCTGATGCTTCAGTTCTCATTCATGACTGAATTAATCTCGTCCTTCCCCCCCACCTCATATTTTTTTCATATCAAAACCTGCATTTGGTTTTAAATGTGCTTTTCTCATCAACTCTACAAAAGGCAAGCACATAAACTCAAGAAGTACTGTATAGTAGTCACAGTGCTATGGTTTTTATTGGTTGTTAGAGGCACTATCTGAATACAGACAGAGTGCTGCATTGCTGCATTTCATCCAGAAAATACACACTTTACAATATATTCTGTGAAGCGCCTTTGAGTTGTCTCAATGACATGAATTATAATATACTATAATAATGACTCATAAATTGAGGTCTTATGTGTCTGTATGTGTCAGGTGGATGTTAATGAGCTCATGACATTATTCAAAATGTGATGGGAATTTATTTCCACTGATGTGCTACACCTAAATAATAATAATAATGCATGCATTTGATATAGCACCTTAGTACATTGTCGAGATGTCTCAAATGTTTTAACAGTATTTACTATAAAGTTTTGTGACTGTATTAGTAGGTGAACACAGCCGCCAACTTGCATACTGCAATGTTTCACAAAGCTGGAGTCGATTGGGGAGACTATACCAAATTGTGTCTGTTTTGTGTATTTGAAAACTTCAAACAAAATATTGAGTTTGATATTTGTTTCAGATTACTCATACCTATTTGGTGTTAGCCTGGCTTCATTAATAGCATTCTCTCCTCAGTCACAAAGTAACGGGTTCAAACCACATATCGGGACTTTGAATTCACAGTCTAGGCCAACCCACCAGTGCAATGTTGTCAAAGGTTGCATGATTGGAGGTGCCATCCTATCTGCCTGTCCAGGTGGATTTTTAAGATCTTACTCCCGGTGTCCTGGCCAAAACGCCTCAAGATAAAATTGTTCATTCATATTATGGCTGTTTGTGGGATATTGTTATGTGAAAATTGGCAGCCCCCACATACAGTTGCATCATCCACACACAATGAGCCCTAC